GGTCGGGCGGGGGGCGGGCGGAAGCGTGGGCTCCAGCCCTTAAGTCTGGCCGCTCATTGTTCTCCAGGGGTGGGGCCGGGAGGGGCGGAGCCAAGAGGCTCAAAGGCGGGGCCTTTGAGAACGCAGGCCCTCTGCGCGTGCTCAGTCTGGAATTGGTGGTCCTCGTTTCTGTCCGGATTGCAGAGGCCGAGGCGACCGTGGCTGAATTATAGGAGGCGGATTGTCATCCCTCGTGGGGCTCACAGTCGCGGGAGTCTGGGAAGCAGTCAGTAGTCCACGACCAAAAGAAGGTGCACATTTCGTCAAGAGATTAGTGCTTTAAAGAAGCAAAGCGCGGGGTGATGCAAACCTACTGAAGGCTAAGGCAGCCGGCTCGTGGCATCTTCGAGGATTGCGCATTCTACACAGAGTGAGACTGACGAAAAAGACCATACGCACAAAGTAATACAATACGCTTCCAAAGAAAGAAAGAAAGGAAAGGAAAAGATGTAGAATCAGCAAAATCCGAAGTAGCTGGGTTTGGTGGCTCAGGTCTGTAATCCTACCACGTGGGAGGCTGAGGCCGATATACGTGAGCACCTCTTTTAAAACAAAATCGTTTCTGTTTAGGGCTGGAGAGATGGCTCAGAGGTTAAGAGTACCGACTGCTCTTCCCAGCAACCACATGGTGGCTCACAACCATCCTTTATGAGATCTGGTGCCCTCTTCTGGTGTGCAGATATACATGGAAGCAGAATATTGTATACATAATAAATAAATAAATCTTTAAGATCAAGATGACGCAATCGTGTTATAGGAAATAACGTGGAGTCTGTTAGACATGAGCAAGCTGAGGAAAGCCTCTTGAGTAACTGAGATGTAAGGCATAGGATTCCAGAGAGCTGTAAAGTACCCGGCATCTTGTGGACCATAAAATGTATTTAATGAGTGAATACAGATGACTCTTCTGTTGAGGTTGACTTCACTTTAAAACAACAGTTTTTAGTAGGTGTGGGGATACCTGCGATCATGTAGTACGGAGGCTGCAGCAGGAATACCAGGCAAGTCAGGGCTACGAGAGTGAGAGACCCATTCTCAACGAAAACAAACCAATATATGCTAGTTAAATATTAAAACACTCAAAACCGATAGCAAACAAAAGCCCCAAATTTGGCCCATCATGGTGGCACATGCCTTTAATCCCAGCTCATGGAGGGTGGGCAGAGGCAGGCAGGGTGGGGGGAGGGTCTCTGGTCTACATAGCAAGTTACAGGCCACCAGGGATGGACAGTGAGATGCTGCCTCAAACAAATCCCAACAAACAAACCCAAACTAAAAACAAAACAAAAAAGCCTCAAACTCCACAAAAGAATTGTGAGGGTGCCGTGATGAAACCACAGAAATCTGTGAGATTTGATCTATCTGCCAACAATTCTTTAGTCCAGCTTGAGCTGAGCCCAGAATGCCATTTTGGATCAAGTCAGTTGGACTGCTCTTTTTTGGGGGCGTATTAGGTCCAAAAGGAACCTCCAACCCCTCACTGACTAGGTCCAAGATAACAACAGTCTAGGCTCAGTTTGACAGGTTAAACAAAAGGATTACTGGTGGATAGATTGGTGTATTCTCCGGAACACAAATTTCTGTCTACCAAAAGGAGCCGCTTTCAATATCTTCCCTTGCTTGAAGGCAAAAGGTACTTGTTGACACATAGCTGTGGTTACACATCAGAGCCCATGCTAACCTCCAGGCTCCTTGTCCTTAGTAACATGTAGCTGTTACTAAGCCCCCAATGCTAGCTAGCATCCTGGCCCTTCTCATCTCCTCCACTATGCTAGCACCCATACTGTTCAGAGTAAGCTAGCTCACTCCTCTCCACAGCGGCTCTGCAGCAGCTTAGCTTTCTAGTAATGGCAACGTGTTTTTTTTTTTTTTTTTTTTTTTTTGGCCCGATCCGCAATTATCTCTGTTTGCTATTTGTTTGCTTGTTTGTTTTTTGAGACAGGGTTTCTCTGTGTAGCCCCAGATGTCCTGGAACTCGCTTTGTAGACCAGGCTGGCCTCGAACTCACAGAGATCCGCCTGCCTCTGCCTCCCTAGTGCTGAGATTAATGGGGTTGCGCCACCACCGCCTGGCTCTCTTCACTATTTTGTCTGCCCCCAAGAAATAGTCTTGGCCAGTTAGCTTTTTCTCTTCGCTCTGGACTCTTTTCAGATGTCTTTGGTTCTTATCTACAATAAAACGTCCCCCAATCACGGAGCAGACATTTCGGTAGTTTTGTTTTCCTGCGCCTTAGCTTACAGGGCGCTTGGGGCTTTTCCCTTCGGCCCTAAGGAGAACTCAATTCTTATCAAACCCATGCTTTGCTAAGCCTCACTGCGCGAGAAATTGGGGAGCCCTCAGGCAATCAGGCATTCAGAGGCAAGCCAAGGAGAGGGTGTCGCTAACGCCTGAGCCACTAGAGGCCGCCCGAGAGGCGTCCCTTCGGAGTCTGGTTTCTATAGCTGCAAGCCACAGCACCACGTGACCCGCGCCGCTCAGCAACCCCGCCCGCTGCTTCCGGTAGGGGCGGAAAGCGGAAGTGTGGGAGGGTTTGCGGGGCGGGCTTCGGGAGGATGGAGCATTGAGGCGGTCTGGGCGGCTGCCGGCAGCGCCATGGAGACCGTGCAGCTGAGGAACCCGCCGCGCAGGTGAGGGGCGGTAGCCCGAGAGGAGGAGAATCGGGTGGGGAGAGGGATGGCGCGAACTTGCTGAGGGGAGACACCCGAGCGCAAGCCCCGGGCGGAGGGGGACCCGCGAGACAGGCGAGCGGGCTGCAGGAGCACCTGCTGAGTGAGGGAGCATCCGCTGGGCGCGATAGAAAGTGGGCTCGGTTACAGGGAGCATTCTGTGTGGGGGACTCGCCTGAGCAGCGTGAGGACAAGTTAGGAAGACACCTGCCGAGGCCGGGGGAAGCTCCCCAGGAAGAGACTCGAGGACTTAGGGCGAATGCCGAGGGTAGATGAAAGCGAACCCGTTTGGGATGAGCGGGGGCTCACTGAGAGGGTCTTGAATCCCACAGACCACGCGGTGAGGAAAGGTCTGTTGCATTGCTTCTGAGGCAGCAGGCGGTAGAAAAATTGTTGGAGGTCCCATAGTTAGTAAGAAGTAAAGTGGGAATTTTGTGTCCCGGTGGCCCTGTCCAAAGTCATTGCTCCTAACTGCCTTACTGTGGCAGTACCCAAGTTTCGTGGGTCTCGTAATGGAGAGAGGGTGATGGAGGGTGTTCTAGGGTCGTCCCGATTTGGGGATGGTGATGATGGTGGTGGAGCCTTTTGTTGCTGCTGTCTTGAGTGCCTGCCTAATTTTCTCCATATCCTTCCAAAACCTAAAGCTCTGGGACATAGATAAGGAAAGAAAATACCCGAGATGGGTTAGCTGAGGTCCAGTAAATAGAGTTGAGACACAGTAGATCCAGCCAGACGGTGTCCCTTTCAAATTCTGTTTCAATACTGTCAGCTCCAGATTCTAGAGGTATCTGGAATTGTTTTGGGTCAAGATGACCGACTCTAGGAAGTCTGCCGTCCCGGACTCGTTGATGTTGTGTTGGACCACTCCCCCTCACCTGGAGAAAAGAGCACAGAGCCCGAGGGAGTCATACTTCTCTCAGATGCAGCTAAAAACTTCGGTTTCACAGAGAAGACATTTGACTTCCTGTAGCAGAGGGAGCACTAAAATAGGAAGTGTTCAGAATAAGGGAGTGCCCGGCAACTGAGAGGTGAAGAGAGGGGATTCAAGCCTGGGGAGCACTCTTGGGAGTTGCTGGAAGTACATAAACGTGAAATAAAACAAATAGCTTGTTAGTGTGGTGTTCTGAGACTGTAATAGCAACGGCCATTAATTACACCCAGAGAGCACTTACAGGGTGCCAGGCACTGTTTTAATTGCTTTGCATCTTGCCTGTTCAACCATATGAAATTGCAGTATTTGGCCACTTTTGAACTTGTAAAAAAAAATGGTACTTTGAAATAGTACAACTTACTAACTCACTGACCTTCACAACTAATGCATAAGGAGGATATCCTTGTATCCTTGTTTCACAGATGATAAAGCCAGGGCAACAGGTCATTTGTTAGCTGCTCCATAGCTAGTAAGAGGCAGAGTTGGAATTTTAATGTCTGGTGATCTAGTCCAAAGCCTTGTTCTTATAACTTCCCTACTCTGGCATCTCCCTGGAAGTTACCTGCTACATTGGGTCTTTGTATATGTGTATCTTAGCAGATAGTTATTGTATGTATGCAGTCAGTAACTACTAGATTTGTTCTTTCTTTTTGGTTCCCTTTCCCAAAAAACCTTCATTTAAGTAAAATGAGAATTGTGAATGTGAGTTTTGTTTCTCCCTTTGTGTTTGGTGATTGTGGCAGGGGTGATTGGGTTTTGTTTGTTTGTTTGTTTTGTTTTGACTTTGCTCATCCTTGTACCTTTTGGATTTTTTATTTTTAAATATTTATTTATTTATTTGGTTTTTCAAGACAGGGTTTCTCTGGAACTTGCTTTGTAGATTAGGCTGGCCTCTAATTCAAAGAGATCCCAGTGCCTCTGCCTCCCGGTGCTGGGATTAAAGTTGTGTGCCACCACTGTCCAATCTACCTTTTGGATTTTAAGAACTGTAATAAATTCCAAGAGAAGAGCATTGCAGGACTGAATCGTTGGATGATTGGTGCTGTCCTGTTCATTGTAACTAGTGGACTGCTGGGTTTTATTATCATCAGTACTAACTGGCTTGGATTTCTGTAACAAATACCACACCCAGATGGTTTAGACAACAGAAATTAACTATTTGCCCTTCTGGAGGCTGGAAGTCTGAGGTCCAGTGTCTTTGGCTTACAAATGGCCATCTATCCCCACATTTTATGTGGTCTTCGTTCTTATCAGTCCCTGTCCTCAACCCTTCCGCTTACAGAGTCATCTGTCTCCAGATACAATCTCACACCCTGACACTCTTTGGCTTAGAATCTTAATGTTTGCACGAAGGATAGGGCATAGTTAATTTAGTTGCCTTTTTGTTTGTTTTGAGACAGGACCTCACACTGTAGCTCAGGTTGGCCTCAAACTCACTACAGTCCAGCTCTGAGTGCCAAGAGGAGCCATTGGCCCTGACAACTTTGTTATTAAAATGTTTCAGTTTATCTTTTACATTTGTTGTAATCTGCAAAATTTTGTTAGAGGGATGGATATGCATTAATAAAATGGGCCTTTGAGAGTTCTGATATGGCACAGATGATTGAAAACTAGCCAGATCTGAGCACCACTTTGTAACATTTGTTGTGTTTGGAACTATAGAGATGTCTTCTTGAGAGGTTCAGGTGGTGTGCTGCCCAGCAGTCTTAGTGCAGGAAATAGTGTTTGTATTCATGAGCTTGACATGCCTGTGTGACTCAGTGGTTGATGATGGATGGTGTAATGCAAGAGTTAGTGATTTTAAGACGTCAATTGCCATTGGGTAATGGTGTAATGGAAGGCCCAGGGTGCATTCCTGAAATGCTGGCCATTCTTGTGTCGGCTGACTTAGGATAGGAACATCACCAACATTTGGTGTGTGCAATTGCATTTATTGGCCAGGCCTGTTCATTATGAGCAAGAAAAAACTAGTATGGGATGTCACCTCTGAGTGAATGTCATCCCACAGTTCACGAAAGTCAGACCACTTGGGTGATAGTCTTGTCCTTGAAGTCTCAGTCACTTAGCAGATGTTTCATAGAAATTGTGTTTGTCGATAACCTACTAGTTAGCATTTTCAATGAAATTTTATTATGAGTCAGGTGTGGTGGTGTGCACCATTCTGGAAGCATTCTGGAAGGCAGAGGGAGATAGAACTCTGAGCTTGAAATCAACCTGGTGTACAGAGCCAGTTCCAGGACAGCTAAGCTACAGAGAGAAGAAAAGACAAAAAAATTCTATTTTGATAACATAGAGAACACAAGATTGCTACTCAAGGTTATGTGATTGCCACACCTACATTGGTTGATCCATTTAGCAAATATTTTCTGACCATCTATCTCTTGGTTATTTGGTACCAGAGTTAATAATGCTTCTTTAAGTTTAAAGTGTTTTAAACATTCTAGATGCAAAACAAAACTCCCATGTATGTTGTTTAAAAGGCATGTGAACAGTTGTTTAAAGTTTCTCTGAGTGTTATCGAGTCTTGCAACTGTCTCTTAGGACCAAGGCAGTTTCCTTTGTTCTGTGGTTTCTGAAATAGCGACTTCGGCTTTTGTTAAACTGTTAAGAGTCAACACTTGAAAGAGAATCAGATCTCCTCTGTATAAGCTGTGTATAAGAGTTTCTTCTTGATGAATGAGGTATTGTCCATTGTTTATACAGCTATGATTGGGGATTTTACCAAAAAACCCGAGCTGTTCGCTTTAATTTCTGAGATCGTAGAAATAAAATATCACGTCTGAAGTTTAAGGGGAGTTTCACTTCAGCCCTTTTGCCTTGAAGTTGGGAGTTTTTATGAAGTCATTGGGATTTTAATTGTAGGATCTTTTGAATCTTCAAATGTCAGTGTAGTCAGTGTATTTTGTTGCTCTTCAAGTCAAGAGCCACTCTCTGTGGTTCTTCCTTTCTTTATAAAATTCTGCAGGATCGACCCTCTGAGGTCAGGGCTTATTGGTAGTTGGTTGCACTTCATATGGTCTGGCTTTTTTTTTATTTTCAATTTTATATTCTTCTGATTTTTCTATTTTTATTTAAAGTCATTTCTTCTAAGAATTGATATTGTTTAGCTAATACAGGCTTTTTTTCTGCACAAGAAGTTTACAGTGTGACTGCTTCCATATTTCACCATTTCCTGAGCTGTCTTTTCTTTGTTGTCTTTTGTAGCTTCAGGAAACTATTATGTAGAACACACACACACACACACACACACACACACACACACACCCTATCCTACAACAAACTCTTTAAGCCTGTTAATATGTTTTATTAGAGGTCTCAGTTTTGAATTTGGAATGTTGCTTTTTAACCTCTCCAGCTTATTCTGATTGTCTAGCATCACTGCTAAGTTTGAGTGAGTGGCCCATTTGATTCTTGGCACTAGTGAAAGGTACATGGCTGATCATGACAGGAGGGTCTTAGTGAGATTGTTAAAACTCCTTGCTGTCAACGCAGTTTGTACTTTTGGGTCTGTATAAATGTCTGCTTTCTACTTCCTGTTTCTGTGTTACCTATAGAACTTAATTGGGTAGACAAAAAATGACCAAAGCTTTGCCAATAGAGGGCAAAAGGTCAGCTAGTCCAATTCAGGCTTAAATATACAGCCTTACATTTAAATGTCTTTTTGAAGAGATAGCTATGCCATTTAAATTCATAGAAATAATTTACCTGGGGGCTGGGGAGATGGCTCAGAGGTTAAGAGCACTGGCTGTTCTTCCTGAGGTTCTGAGTTCAATTCCCAGCAACCACATGGTGGCTCACAACCATCTGTTATGAGATATGGTGCCCTCTTCTGGCATGCAGGCATATATGGAGGCAGAATGTTGTATACATAATAAATAAATCTTTTTAAAAAAAGTAAACAGGGGCTGGAGAGATGGCTCAGTGGTTAAGAGCACTGGCTGCTCTTTCAGAGGACCCGGGTTCAATTCCCAGCACCCACATGGCAGCTCACAACTGTCTGTTACTTCAGTTTCAGGGAATCTGACACCTTCACACCAATACACATAAAATAAAGTTAAATAAATTATTTTTAAAAAAGTAAAGAAAGAAAGTTTATAAAAAAAGAAATGGTTTGTCTAATGTTTGGCTCTATACTATAACATTTCAGTCACATGATAATTATTTTCCCTAAGTTTCCAACTGTAGAGAACTTGGCCATTTTGAGTAGTCTGAACCACCATGGGACAGCTTCTCTCGTTAGAAAATTCATACATATGTCGAATGGAGATTTGATTCTTGGCAGCTCTTCATGTTCTGGTCTACAATGTACTTGGGTGATCCAGCAAAAGTATAATTCCTCCCAGGGATGGTGGTGCACACCTGCAATCCTAGCACCTGAGAGACTGAGGCAAGAGGATTATACTTTTGATGTCAGTCTGGGTTATAATATTGAGAGCCTGTCTTTAAACAACAAAACAAAACTATTAGCTTGTTTTTACCTTTAGCTCCTAGTAGAGAAAGTAGACTTTGTAGAGCAGTTCCTAGAACAGTAATTATAAAATAAACAATGTACTTTATTTTTTAGTTTCAAGTAAGATGCATTTTGTGTTTTTATTTCTTTATCCACAGGCAACTGAAAAAGTTGGATGAAGATAGCTTAACTAAACAGCCGGAAGAAGTGTTTGATGTCTTAGAGAAACTTGGAGAAGGGTGAGTATAGATAGAATATATGTTGACCAGTGGGTCCTAGTCTTTCTCCTGGCCTAGTAATTGAAGGATGTGAACCTCTCTCTCATGGTGTCAAATTCAGGCCTGCACAAAAGAAAGAATGATGCATATCAGCATTGTTCCAGGTGGTATGGGAGGCAGGTTTACTACTTTCAGTCTTCACCCTATCACTAAATTTAGTGACTTATCACTAGGTTTAGTGACTTCTAGTCTTTTTTTTTTTTTAAAGATTTATTTATTTATTTATTATGTGTACAGTATTTGGCACCAAATGTCATTACTGATGGCTGTGAGTCACCATGTGGTTGCTGGGAATTGAACTCAGAACCTTTGGAAGAGCAGGCAGTGCTCTTAACCACTGTGCCATCTCTCTAGCCCCAACTTCTAGTCTTTTTAATATTAAGGCTTTTATTGTTTTCTCACAGAATCTGTGATGTGTATGATTTTTATGTATTTAACAGAAAGTGCTAATTAGATTATAATTCATTAAAGTTTTAAAAAGTCAGCCAGGATGGTGGCCTACACCTTTAATTTCATCATTTAGGAGATAGAGGCAGGCGGATCTCTGCGAGCTTGAGGCCATTTTGGTCTATATAGCAAGTTCCAGGCCCTTTCTCTCTAAAACAAAAACAAAGACAAAAAACAAAACAAAAAAGAAATCGGAAAGCAAAAGGAGTTAGACATAGGCAGTTTGATATACTTTGGGGTTAAAGGCATGCACCTTATACTTCTACATATCCTTTCAATTTAATTCTGTGTATTTATTGCTTCTTCTGTAATAAGCACATTAAATTACTAGGGATACCTTAAGCATTTAACTTTTGAATAGATAATAAATTCAGAATAGATAAATAATTCAGAGATAGTTAATGTGTATGTAAACAGGCATTGTTGCATGTGAAATTTTAATCCCTCCAGAATACCTCTGACTAATGACTGACTGACTGTATGCTTTTTTCTTTTTCCATGGTGCTAGGGATTGAGCCCAGGCTCACACACATGTCAGGCAAGTGCTCTGCCTGAGTGAAGCCTCCCCTCCCCTTTCCTTCTCTCCCCTCCCCTCCCCTCCCTGCTTGAGAGTTTAGTATTATGTTTAAACACAGATGTGTAGCAGTGACAAGCACAATTCATGGATTACATGGAGTAGATTTTCATGGATTACCTCCTTGTTAAAAACATTAGTCTTCAACTTTCTGTTAGTTGAAAAAGTACTTTTGGGGATTCATCAAAAAATCAAGCAGAGGAAGGAAGGAAAAGAACCTGAGTTGTGATGCTCCAAGACAAGCCCAAGATGGTGGAAGACTGCCAGTTGAATGGCATCAGTAAAGGTATGAGGTGGTGACAGTCACTCTGCATCTCTTGCCTGGGATCTGTAGTTTTAGCTTGGCATTCTTGCTATTCTCCTGAAGGCGATTAGTCCATGCCCCTTAATCTAACAATGTTCACAGGTCGTTTTTTTTTTTTTTTGGAATATGATATAAATTGGTGGTCATAACTGCATATGTATTAACTTGGTGTTTTTCATTTTTAATAAGAGCATGTTAGAGTAGTAAAGAACTCACACAATGAAGTCACACAGACCCAGGTTAAAAGCCTTGATATCCTATTTATTAGCGTAGCAGATGAGCTATACTCTCAACCCTCATTACAAAGCAGGGATAATAACAATGTCTGTTACATGGTGTCATAGAAAGTGTTGCATGAAATAATAGATGTAAAGTACTAGGTACAGTGATTGTCACAGACTGAATGCTCAATAAGACACAGCTATTATTTTTGGTGTATCAGCTGAAGCATTTTTCATACCTTATGTCAAATCAAAGCTAAATCTTAAGTCTTAAAGTGCAGTTAGTTATTATTAGCAGGGACCCTGCTTGCTGTGCTTGATTTAGGAAATATCAAACTTATAGGCAGAAAATGCCAGATATATAATGTGGAGGAAAAATAAGCTAATTATGTTTTTTTTTGTTTTTTTTTTTTTTACTTGTGTTTAGATACGTATGTCTTCAGCAGAGAACTTGGGAATTTCCCTCTAAAGATCCTTTCTCTTGCTTTCATCTCAATTGAACTTTTAAATGACACTACAGACACTTGGATGTTTGTCACCCTGACTTAAGGAACCTGGGAAGGTTTCACGGAACTAGCGTGATCCTGCAGGAAGACCTTCCTAACCTTTACTACTCTAATGAAATGCCACACCATCCTCAGATGTTCCTTCAGTGAATGGATTATGAATTCTCAGTGACTTGTGGTTTAAAATGCGCTTGTGCTGAAGAACCATATTTGGCTCTGGAGCTGTGGTTGCGCTGTTTTGAAGAAATCATGTGTCTCTAAAACAGGGCAGAGTCACAGCTTGAACCAAGATGCGCGGAGAGCACCTGGGATGTTCAGAACGGAGCCTAGCATTCTTTTGCTTCTGTTACTTCCAAGTTTTACACATTTGCTCATTTAAGTTGTCTTTTTTTTTTTTTTTTTTGTATTCTCATGTACTTTAGGCAGATGCTCTATCGCTGAGCTACATTCCCAGTCTTCATTTAAGTTTTTCTCGGAAGAGAGTTAACGGGTTGTTCCCTTCGTTCCATAGCTAATGAGTGCTGGTGACTAGTGAGACTTGTGCCTGATTGCCATGGCCTTCAGATACTATTTATTTCCATTTTTTTCTGCATTCATCCCTACTTGGTTATGTGAAAAAGCACTTCTTTGTGTTCATTCTCTGAAGTTAAACTCACGGAATCATTGAGATAACATTGTAGGGACTGCCTATATGGGGATTAGCTACTTTTATTGCTTTGAGGGGATACCTGATGGAAACAACTTAAAAGAAGAAAGTTGTCTCAGTTTGAGAGTGTATAGTCAGTCCAGCATGGTGGGAAAAAGCTGGTGGCAGGCACAGGGTGCAGCTGTGGCAGTGGGGGGCTAGATAGAGGGAGCTCCAAGGTGTGGTGTAAACCTCAAGGCCACCCCTCACCACCTCACTTCCTCCATCTTGGTCCCAGCTTTCCAAAAGAGCATCGTCTTCTGGGGACCAAGTGTTCAAACACATGAGCCCATTAGGGACGTTTCACTTTCAAACTATAACCTTGGACATGATTGCCAAACCTAACTCCTTCAGATTGTGACCACTGTGGTATGTCCATTGTTCATCTGATCTGTTGGAGTTTCTTTGCTATCAGGATAGTACAGGGTTTGAGGGCAGAGATACTGTTTTGGTCATGATTACTGAACAAGTCCACTTGGAAGGCTTGTTTTTCATTCCTAATGCATAAGAATAATGAGTGAAAATTCTATTAAATATTTAATCGTAGGGCAAAAGCATTAGCTTATATGGTGAATCAACTCCTATTTACAGTAAAATTGTAGAATGTTAAGACTCGGAAAGCTATGGAGAGCTTATCTGTGAAGAATGTTGCTCTAGTGAAAGCAGACTTTGGGAATCAGGAGCCATGGGGAAATTGCAGTACCAGTGCGGAGGGAAAGGAGAATTCTGCACCCATCAAAACTCATCTCAGCATGAAGATATTTGTGCACATACGGGGGTCTAGTATTTCAGAACCGCCATTGGATGGCAGTAACAGAACGCCTGCTAGCAGTGGCTAACTATGATGGCCAAACTAATAAATCTCCCACAAGTGGATAGTTGACTTGGCAATGGTAGTCTGGGCAGTTCTTATGGTCACAAGATGGTTACATTAGTTTCAAGTGTCACCTCTCTTGACAGTAGCCAAAGCAAGGAGGAAAGTGACACGTGAAAATGGATAGCCCTGTACAGTGCTGGTCTTACCAGGGAAGAAAGTCTTCAGAATTCTAGCTGTACAGTGGTCAGATCTAGCTTAGACTTTTGGTTCAGTCACTGGCAGGAGAGAAAGGGAATGCCATGACTGGCAGGGCCTATCATGGTTTTCCATAGGGCTAACACACCGCTATCCTAATTGAGAGTTACTTTAGCAAGGAAGAAAGGATGCTGGCTGGGTCTTCCACACATGCTCAGTAGTTGTTTTCCTGTGGTAAAACAGAATTTGAAACTCTTTGAGCATCTTTTTATTCCTTTTTAAGTATAAGGGATTCAGATAGAACTTGGTACATACTCTGTATTCATAGGTTTTTTTGTTAAAGAAGTTTTTAAAATCTATTTTGACATTGAGATAATTCCTTTTTGGCAGTGAGAAATACTCTGTTATTTTGACATTTTAGATCACATCCTTTACTTTGGTTTTCTTTTCACCAAGATAGTATGAAGAATCAGGTGTGTTTGGGAAATTTATTTATTCATTTTGGTTTTTCAGTTTTTTGAGACAAGGTTTCTCTGTGTAGCCCTGTCTGACCTGGAACTCGCTCTGTAGACCAGGCTGGCCTCGAACTCACAGAAATCCACCTGCCTCTGCCTCCCAGGTGCTGGGATTAAAGGTGTGCACCACTCCTGCCCTGGTTTGTTTGGGAAATTTAAAAATGGATTTTCTCATATTTCACTGAGACCTACCCTGGACATTAATGAAAAAAAAAATGTGTGTAAGATTCTAGTGGTATCTCACTAGAGCACCATAACCCACTTATAAGGGAGTTTGTAAGTCTTTTTTTTTTTTTTTTTTTTTTTTTTTCCTCTGTCATCTTGTGAATAAGAGAATTCAGGCACAAGAGAGCTAACTCTTGTTTTTGTAACACTGTGTAGTGGTGGTGGGATGCAGTCTAATATCTTTACCTAATTCTAACCTAATTCTTTTTTTTTTTTTTTTTCGAGACAGGGTTTCTCTGTGGCTTTGGAGGCTGTCCTGGAACTAGCTCTTGTAGACCAGGTTGGTCTCGAACTCACAGAGATCCACCCGTCTCTGCCTCCCGAGTGCTGGGATTAAAGGCATGTGCCACCAATGCCCGGCTCTAACCTAATTCTAAACCTAATGTTCTTGTAGCACCCAGATTGAATGAACATAGAACCTTGATTTTGATGAGAAGCTTTTCAGGGAAGATGAAACAGATTCAGGGATGGCAAAAAGATTTGCATATGCACTGTTCTTGTGATACTAGCATGAAAGAGGCTTAGGTCTTAATGAGTTTCCATATTTTAAACATTGCAGCATATAGAGGGTAAGGACAGAAAGACTGGTAATAGAGTGGCTGTAGGAAAACAGACACGTGTTGTGTTGATGTGGAGAGAAAACAAAAGCGTTGTGTTCAGTCTACATGGGCTCAAATCATAAGCTCATCACTTATGTGACCTTGGATACATCATGTGACCTTTCTAAACTCTTAAGTTTTACTTGTAAAATAATCACCTCTTTGTCTTTAAAAAATTTTTATTTTTTCAAAGAATAATAGGCCTAGGTGAATATTTTCTAGCAGATATCAGGGATGGTGCATGCAAGCTGTTACAGTCATTTGAAAATTGTAATTATCAAATAGATCTGATAACTTTTTGGGTGCTGGGGATTAAGCCTAGGGCCTTGCTCATGCTAGGTGAGTGCTCTCCCACTGAGCTACACCCTGGTTCCCAAATGTGAAGTTTTAGGATGCCATTTTTTTCCCCCAGGTACTTAAGCTGTCTCAGTTTTGCAAATACAGCTAGCTAAGCTTATAAGCTTTAGATACTTGGGATAGAAAGAAGTTCTGTAGGTTGATTGTGCTAACCTGATCTTCTGTCTTGGTGCTCTGACTTTATATAAATGGTCTTCTTTCCCAATTGCAGGTCTTATGGCAGCGTGTACAAGGCGATTCATAAGGAGACTGGCCAGATTGTTGCTATCAAGCAAGTGCCGGTGGAGTCAGATTTGCAGGAGATAATCAAAGAAATCTCCATAATGCAGCAGTGTGACAGGTAAAGGCCTGAGGGACCCTTTGACAGAGTGAGCTGCTGTGTTTGCTGTGATCATAGAGTTGGACACCTGCAGATTGAGACAACTGCAGAAGGGCGGGATCAGTGGGATCACTGCTTATTTTCTGAAAAATAGGAGAAAGCTTATATGTTTTGTAGCTAATTTGTAGTTAACATTTTTGCATTTTTCCTTCATCAATTAGCTCTTTTAGAGATGAGGAAGAGACAGACAGTGGCTCGTTCTTTCTTGCTTGCTTGCTCGCTCACTCACTTACTTGCTCTCTCTTACTTTCTTTTGAGAAAATTTTCTGCTGAGATAATTCAAATGCCTTTCAGTCCCAGAAACTGTAGACTGTCAGATTGGTCTATAAAAAGGGAATATTTGTTTAGGTATCAACTGTTCTTTTTATTCCAGTTGAGAGTTCTTAAGTGTTTTAGTTTTGAGGAACTAAGATTTGTCAAATGCTGTAAGCAGGAAGTTGGCCTCAAAGTCAACCACAAAAGAGCACGTGATCTGCTCTGAAGTTCCATGACAACATGAGTTGTCACCAATGGAGCAGGCTTACCCAGCACTGTTGAGATGTGAGCGACAAGTCAAATTGAGGACAGTGCTAGGTCTAGGGAGTTGGAAGTGAGGGTGAAGAAGTTTAGCACATGAGGCGGCAATTTTGGTGAGATCAGTTTATTATCCGTTTTCAACTTCAGCAGTAGATTATGTGGGGGCAGTGGATTTTGTTATTTTGCAGGGACCTCAAATCTCCCCAACTTTGAAGTACAGCTACTGCTCATCTTCTTCCCATTGTATCTTCTTTTTGTGGTTATTGTCTGCTATAGAAAAACCTCCCTTTTTGTTTTTCCTGGTTGGATTGGCCAGAATTAAGTTAGCAGTTTTTCTTTTTATCTATATGATTTTTGTTTTTACTCAAACTTCAATTTACTTTACTCAAACTCTTTTACTTGGCAAATTGGGACTATATATAAACAGTATGGAAATGCTTCTAACTGAAGTGTTTTTTGTTTTTTTTTTAAAGATTTATTTTTTACCTTTTTTTTTTGGTTTTCTAAGACAGGGTTCCGCTATAGCTTTGGAGCTTGTCCTGGAACTTGCTCTGTAGACCAGGCTGGTATCAAACTCACAGAGTTTGTCTCTGTCTCCTGAGTGCTGGGATTAAAGGGGTGCACCGCCACCATCTGGCTATTTTTACTTTTTTATGTGTATGCCTGCATGTATGCATATATGTGGACCACATGTGCCTGAAGACTGTGGAGGCCAGAAGATAGTGTCAGATCCCCTGGAAATGGAGTTATAGACAGTTGTGAGCTGTCATGTGGGTGCTGGAATCCAAACCTAAGAGTATCATGTGCTAAGAATTGACATTTTGAAGATCCTTCTGGGTTAAGCCTTCTAAGAAAAAAAGAAAGACATGGCAGAGTCCTTGTGTTCTGAGAGTTTTGTTTGTTTGCTTCTTTGATGTATTTTTGTGTCACTGTCTTTTGAGTAAGGGGAGGGTTTCGGGGACATTTGCCTGGTTTATTAAAGCAGCTGGAGAGAATATCAGTGATTTTTCTCCAATTTTTGGGAGTTCATGGGCCAGGCTTGTATAGTTCAGGAAATCTAGCTGACAGTACAAGACTGCATAGAACATATTCCAACAGTGTGTTTGCACAATAGAGAAAGTGACTACAGGAGGCGAGGGAAGAGAGCACACGGGATTATTGTGAGCTGTATTGCTTGCACTAATGTTCATTTTATGTGCTGTGTTTTCCTTCTGTCCTTGTCACTGGTATATGTCCCGAGAATGAAGGGGCATTTGAAATGGAAAGTCCAGGAGGTCAGTGTAGTTTTAATATCTTTGGTTGCTAGGCAACCTGGTTTCCAACAGCAGTCCAGTTGTTAATGCAACAAATTGTTAAACAGAGTTTTCATTTTACTGGGGTGCTTGACTTCTCAGATATTTCTTATTTGGTGTCTCCAAATTTAAGGCCTAAAGTTCCAGTTTTGATAATAAACATTTTTCTCTTTATATTATATAGTGATGATTTTGTTACTCCCAATTATACTATGACTTTTTAGAAAAAAGAAAAAGAGATTGCTTTTCATTTTGGTAAAATCATCATCATTATATATCTCTTGGTATATCTTTCCATGTCTCTGTGGGGATTTAACTGTGATTGTTTTATAGCTTACCCTTCTCTCTCTTGTAAATAGGATGAGCGAGTGCACACAGACACACACACACACAGATACACACACACACAGACACACACACAGACACACACACACACACACACACACACACACACACAGACACACACACACAGACACACACACACACAGATACACACACACACACACACACTCTTTTTGTGTATGGGTGTTTTGTCTACATGTATGTCTGTGTACCACTTGAATGCCTGGTGCGTGAGGATAGAAGAGGGCATCAGATCTCCTAGAACTGGAGTTACAGACAGTGGGAGTGCTGGAGACTGAACCCCAGGTCCTCTGGAAGATCAGGAAGTGCTCTTCACAGCTAAGCCAAGTCTCCTGTCCCAGGATATATTAAGTTATTTATTAAACATTCCTCTAACATGTTCCATGGACTTGTGGTGCTGTTATTTAAGTTCCCTCATTTTGGATGGTCATTAAAATTGTATCTAATTTCTCTTTTACCATGTCAGTAGCTAATATTTTGAGACTCTGTGATTTTTTTTTTTTTTTTTTTTTTGGGGGGGGGGGTTTCGGGACAGGGTTTCTCTGTGTAGCTTTGGAGCCTGTCCTGGAACTCACTCTGTAGACCAGGCTGGCCTCGAACTTACAGAGATCCGCCTGTCTCTGCCTCCCGAGTGCTGGGATTAAAGGTGTGCACCACCAACGCCCAGCTTGTGATTATTTTTTGAGGATAAATTATACACTTAATACTGTTTTCTTGTTTTGAATTTATGTTATTACTCTTAGGAAAATTGATTCCATTTCATGTTTTTATCAGGAGATTGCTTGTGTTAGTTCTACCTAGAAATAATTCATTTTTTTTTTTATAAACATTTCTAACCTTTTTTAAAAAGATTTTATTTATTTATTATGTATACAACATTCTGCTTCCGTGTATATCTGCACACCGGAAGAGGCCATCAGATCTCATAATGGATGGTTGTGAGCCACCATGTGGTTGCTGGGAATTGAACTCAGGACCTCTGGAAGAGCAGTCAGTGCTCTTAACCGCTGAGCCATCTCTCCAGTCCAATTCATTTTCTTTTGAGATGAGAAGTTACTTTCCATCATTGAACAGAATGAATTGAAATGTTTGAAGGGTGTTCTACTAATTTGTATTGTGTTTCTCTCCAGCCCTCATGTAGTCAAATATTATGGCAGCTACTTTAAGAACACAGACCTGTGGATCGTTATGGAGTACTGTGGGGCTGGCTCTGTGTCGGATATCATTCGGTTACGAAACAAGACGGTAAGTGTACCTCCTAGTAGGTGCTGCTGGCCTGGTCTTTTTGTCATTTTTTTTTCCTCAGGCCTTTTATTCACATGCTGCTGCTACACGTAGAGAATTCCTCCTTTTCCTTGGGTCTCTGGTCTTTTTACTTACCTCCCTCCCATCTCAAAGACAGACTCTCAGTATGCTCTTTTACTTTTGGTCCTTCTGTTCCAGCCCAAGTGCTAGGATCACAGGCTGTGTTACCCTCCCCATCCCAAACCTGAGGGATAGAATCACAGGGTGTCTTACCCCTACCAAGCCCAAGTGCTGGGACCACAGGGGTGTGGCACCATGCTCAATTCTCTCTTAAATGTGACAATTTGTTATTGACTCATTCCAGTGATTTTTGTTTACTTTTTATTATCAAATCATGGTTTGGGGATGAATTTTCACTTTTTTGAGACGGGATTTCATGGTGAAGAGTAACCTGGAACTGACAGTGTAGTCCAGGCTGGCTATGAACTCACACTCCTCTTATGTCATTCTCCTTACCATGCCTGGCTATTCTAGAATGACTTTTAAAAGTCCTTGTTTTTTAAAAGTTATGTGTTTGAGTAGGTTTGTGTATGTGAATATAGGCACCCATAGAGGTTGGGTCTTGCCTACCCTGCTGCTGGAGTTACAGGCGATTATGAGCCCCACAGTGTGGGTGGTGGAAATCAAGTCTTCAGGAAGAGCAGAATGTTCTCTTAATTGCTGAGTCATCTCTCTCTACCTCTAGAATGAGTTTTAAACGTTTACTTTTGAATTTGTCTTCCTATCAAGTTAGCCACAGAGTGGTTTTCTTCTACTTGCTGTTGAACAGGGAATAAGCCTATTATAAAAGAGTATTTGTTATGCCTGAGGTTGTAGGGTCAGACCTAAGAGTCATGGATTATAGTTTTCAGTTGCAGAATACTGCTGTAGGCTTTAGGGATCCAGTAGGAAGTAAAAGAGACCACAACATATGGTGATTGGCGCTCTTATGGCAGCACACCTTCTAGTAGGGAAGTAAAAGCCAGCAGGTGGCAGTTAGAGAGGAAATGCAAGGTAACAAGAAACACTCTGGAGACAATTAGTAAGGGCAGTGATAGGAATGTGGTCAAGAATCTTGGAAGGCAGAGCAGCATGAGCAGCATCTCCTGAAGGGACACTGAGGCAGGAACCAGCCAGTGTGAAGAAGACTCGGAGACTGCAGTGTGTTCGGTACGTTTGGTGTTAGAAGTGCAGCCAGACAAAGGGAACTTGAGGAGGTCTGTCTTGAGTTAGACAGGTGGGCAGGCTTGATGGCTTTGGGTCTTGTAGGTCAGGGTACTGTGGCTAAGTGTTATTCCAGGTACAGAAGGAACATGTCTAGATTCTAAGAAAGTAAGTGAGTCATCTGACATGCAATTTGAAAAACAACTCTAGTTTCTGTGTAGATTGTGGAATGGGAAATTTTAGCTCTTGGGTGGTTTCGTTTTTAATGTAAGAATGGGAATGGGCATCCCCATATTAAGTATTTGCAATGTTGTAAAAATTATCTTAAGTATGCAAAAGTATACTATAAATTATGAAGTATTACATAAGTTATAAGATGGGACTGTTTTGAAACTCAAGTTATAAATTTTGTGTCATATCATTGTTTCCTTTTCTTAATTTATGTTATTGAGAATTTGTACGTTTTCTTTATTAGACAGTAGCAAGTTCTTTAGCCAAGAGTAGTGTTCTAACATAATATATATTTATAATATATATAATATATACATATATATATATATATATATATATATGTAGTATATATAGTACCAAATGGTCAGCCCTGAAAACATGTATACAAGTAACATTCTACATACTGAAGAGATTATATTTATGCATTAGGAATATTTATATATATGTGTGTGTGTGTGTGTGTGTGTGTGTGTGTGTGTGTGTGTGTATAACATATATGAATGTAACAACAATGAAAAAAGAGGCCATGAATTTGAGAGAGAGCAAAGACTGGGAAGCTTTGGAGAGGAAAAGAAGGGAGGAGATGATATAATTATAAGCTCAAAAATGAAATAAATAATTTAAGAGAAGTCAAAACCTTGACTAATTTGTTGATTTAAAATTGAAGCTGCAGGCTTTGTGTGCAGCACCAAGTTCTTTCTGCCCCTTCATCAGTCCAGAATTAACTATATTGGTGATTTCTGTACCTATTGATATCTTAATACTAGTTTATTAGTTTATATACTTAATTATTTTGCTCTATGTTAAAAACTATTTAGTGTGACAGCCTCTAGCTGCAGGGGGCTAGAATACTGTTTAAATTTGAAGAAATATGACCACAGAAAGATATAAAAACTTTAAATATTTATCATGATAGAACCTGTCTCAAAAAAATGATCCTGGTAGAACGACGATAATGGTGTTAAGTGAGGTTGCTGTCTCTGATGTGTGTCTGTTCTGAGGTGGATCTTAGCTTCTGATGTTTTCTAAGTGCTATCCACATGGGGTGGGGAAACCAGAAAAGAGCCCATGAGAGGGGGAAAAGTTTACTTTAAGCAGAAAATTACTGTATAATTAAATCTAAGTAGATGTTAGCTGTATTTAAAAGCTAAAGAAGTCATGATGGATTGGGTTAAGGTCTGACCACCTGTAGAGATTTTAAATTCCTGATTATGTTCTTTTAGGAATTGCTGTTCACGCTCACTTATAGGCACATCTCCTTTTTAGAGTGTTAATGGTGCTACTGAGGTGGCCCTCTGGTTGTCTGCATTTCTAATGTTGAACTGCTTCCATTGGGTTTCAGTTTTATTCTCGTTTTTTGATGCTTTCCTTCATAATTAGCTCTCATTATGCAAATTTAAATCGTAGAATAAAAGTAAAAGAAAGTAATGCCAGAAGGACAAGCTGGGTCTTGCCCATCCTGGATCCTTTTGTCCACAGCTTACTCCTGAATGTGTGTTGTTTGCTATGCTGGGAGTTAAGTGAGAGCTGGATGGATTTTGTACAGGATTTGGGTGTGATCTGCAGAGTCATCCTGTGGTCTGATGTGAAGCCCCGGGTCCAGCACACAGTCACTCTAGCCCATTGGTTCTCAACTTTCCTAAAGCTGCAACCCTTTAATACAGCCCCTCACATTGTGGTGACCCCCAGCCATAAAATTATCCCATTGCTACTTCATAACTGTAATTTCGCTACTGTTATGAATCGTAATGTAAATATCTGATATGTGATTCTAAAAGGATCTCCACCCATATTGTTCTAGCACTATTTCATTTCCCACTCTTGATGCTTGGGATACAAAAGTAAGCAATAAAAGACATTTTCTAATGGCATGTATACCCCTAATAATGAAGCTTGCAGAATATGTCACCTTTGCTGATAAGGTGAGATAAGGGAACAGAGAATGCATGACCAGGCATGGAGAAAGAAAGGCCTCTACTGTTCTGATGAGCAACATTGGGATAGACAGTGAAGAAAGCCAAAGCACAGGTGTGTGGATGAAGAGGAGCCCTAGAGGTAGAGGGAACAGTCAGGTGAAAGGGATGAGAGGGACTGGAACTTTCAGGAAACAGTATGGCTGAAACAGCTGTGCATGAGTTTGGGTATAACTTCCCTTTTCTGCTGTGTGATGTAAACAGGGTTGAAACTTCTTACTGATTTTTGTTTTTCAGTTAACAGAAGATGAAATAGCTACAATATTGCAATCAACTCTTAAAGGACTAGAATACCTTCATTTTATGAGAAAAATACACCGAGATATCAAAGCAGGAAATATTTTGCTCAACACAGAAGGCCACGCAAAGCTTGCAGATTTTGGAGTCGCAGGTCAACTTACAGTAAGTGGAAATGGTGACTGGAATGCAACCCACTGAGTGATTGATTCTACTCTGTGTGTGTGTGTGTGTGTGTGTGTGTGTGTGTGTGTGTGTGTGTGTGTGGTTGTGTGTGAGGGAGAGAGAGAGAGGTGTTCAAGTGTATGCCTGTGGGCATGCATGTGCATATTTGTGTTGTGTGGAAACCAGAGTCCACACAACAATGCTTATTGTCTGCTTTCTTAGTTATACTCCACCTTACTTTCTGTCTGTCACTGACTGGAGGTCATTGATTCAGATAGGCTGGCTGGCCAGTGTGCGTCAGGAATCTGCCTGCCTCTGGCCTCTTCAGATTGAGATTCCAGATATGTGCTGTAGCACCTGGCTTCTTGTGTGGAGCCAGAGAGCCATGCTCAGGTTCTCATGCTTACATGGTAAATGCTTTACCGACTGAGACGTCATCCCAGCCCCTACTTATTAAGAACAAAACAAAACAAACTTGATTTAATTTTGTTAATACAAATTTGTAGAATTTACAAGTAGATTACCAAATAGCTAATTGGAATTTTAGATCTTTTCTAGGGTTCAGGTTCATGGTTTAACTTCTATCTATAATAATGGAAACTAACATAAGACATGAGTATTAATTTAAATCTAGTATGTCAAGGACATAAAAGGAAGGCAGATGGAGCCAGGCTACTCTCCTTCAGCAAGGTGGAGACTCCCACCAGCTCGAAAGCAGTTCAGTCACTGCCTGGAAGCACTCCTGCTTGCTTCAGGGGTGCCCTCTTGATTTCCCTCCTATCTTGCTTGTGCTCGCCAGTGACAGAAAAAGCTGTTGAGAACAGGACCACCAGAATTATCTGGTTTTGTAAAATAGCCAACTAAATGTAAAAGTCTGTAGAAAAAACGGAAAAAGTTCTACATAGTTAAATACGAATCTCCAATAATATCATGCCAAGGGCTCTCTTGGTGATACAGTGAATATTGTATGCTTCACCATCCCTTCTCCCCAGCCACAAACCTTTTATTTTATTTTATTTTTTTGAGGCCAGGTTTCACTATGTAGGCCTGACTGGTCTAGAACTCTCTGTGTAGACCAGACCAGGCTTTAGATCTGCCTGTCTCTACCTCTCAACTACTGGGATTAAAGGTTTCCGCCACCATGCTAGACTCACTTTTTAGCTTTAGGTGATGTCCAGTTTTTTTTGTCACTTGAGCTTCTGGTGCTTTAGCTAAGAACTCATGACCTTGTGCAAGATCTTCTATGTATTTAGTGGTTTTAGCGCTAACGTTTGCTTTGAGATTAATTTTATGCCATGAGGTAGGTATCCCAATACATTCTTTTGTGTATTGATAACTAGCCATCGATCATTCATTTCAATCACTTGTTGATACGCCTTTAGCTTTTCTTTCTTTCTTTCTTTCTTTCTTTTTTTTTTTTAAAGATTTATTTATTTATTATATACGGTTTTCTGTCTCCATGTATGCCTGCAGGCCAGAAGAGGTCACCAGATCTGCTTACAGATGGTTGTGAGCCACCTTGTGGTAGCTGGGAATTGAACTCAGGACCTCTGGAAGAGCAGGCAGTGCTCTTAACCTCTGAGCCATCTCTCCAGCTCATAAATCAGTTTAAAAATGCTACCATCTTAGTATTAAGCCAGCTAATCCATAGACCCAAGATTCTTTTGCATTTACTTGCATCTTTCATTTTTCATCAATATTATCATTTGTACAGTAAGCATTTTCAATTAATTTGGTTGGTTCATTGTCTAGTAGTTTGTTCTTTTTGATACTACATTAAGTAGAATACTCTTTGTTTTCATATTGGTTTTTCTGTTGTTGAATGTGCTTTTATATTGTCTTCTTCCCATCCTTTCTTCCGGTGGGTGTAGCAGGAGTCTCTTCCTCTCCTGGTGGGTATGGGACCAAGGTTCCCTTCTGGTAGATGCAAACAATTCCAGTACTCTGATGTCAGTCCTTTTTTTGTGGATGGAGGTGGGACTGTTACTGGGGCTTTGGCAGTCTCTGGGTGTGCTGGATCCCGCAGGCCAAGTTCGGATCCCGTGAGCAGACCCCAGGCATCAGGTGTCCCCGAGCAGGGCAGGGGAGCCCGAACCGGAAGCAGCCTCTGGCCTGCCTGGGCTGGTCCACTTTTTGTTTTCAAATTGTTCATTGTTAGTGAACGTGGATATGGTTGATTTTTCTATATTGTGTCCTGCAACATTGTTGAGCTTGTTGATTGGTAGTTTTCATTTTTTTGTTTTTGTTTTTGTTTTCGTTTTTCGAGACAGGGTTTCTCTGCAGCTTTGGAGGCTGTCCTGGAACTAGCTCTTGTAGACCAGGCTGGTCTCGAACTCACAGAGATCCTCCTGCCTCTGCCTCCCGAGTGCTGGGATTAAAGGAGTGCGCCACCACTGCCCAGCTTATTTTTATTTTTGAAGCAGGGTCTTACCTTGTAGCAAGGTTTGCCTGGAGCTTGCTATCTAGACCAGGTTGACCTCAAACTCAGGGAGATTTGCCTGCCTCTGCCTCCCAAGTGTTAGGAGTAAAGGCCATGGCAGCTGTCTTTATTATTTTTGTTTATGTGTATGTGTGCATTCTGTAATTCATGAGAGTGTCGGGTCAGAGGCGTCAGAGCTGTGTGAAGCTGGAGTCACAGGTGTTTGTGAGCTGCCTGGTGTGGCAGCTGGGACCACACTCAGCTCCTCTGACAGTAGGGAGTGCTCTTAGTTGCCAACCCCTCCTCCAGCCATTCGTATAGATTGATTTATTTTCGGGAGGGGCTTTTCAGTACAGCCGTGGCTGGCTTGGACCTCTTGGTTCCCTTGCTTCAGCCTTCGGAATGCTGGAATTCGATGCCTATGCCGAGATGCCTCTCTTCTAAATCTTCCCGAGACCTTCAATCCAGGGTTGTTGCAAGGTCCTCTTTTATCATTCTCAATGTCACCAGTTTCTAAGCCATTTGGAGGGGTCTGGGCTGGAATTAGGTTGTTCCAGTTTTCCCAGTGACTGACTTGAGTCCATTTGATTGTCTGCTCAAAGCAGACAGCTTTGTCTGCTTCCAGCTTACAGAATTTTGTGACTTTGCTTTGCATTTTCAGATGGTTTTGGGAAGAAATGAAAACAGGACGTATTTGTTCAGTCTATCATCGTTAGCAGAAATCTGTAATTAGTTTCTTTTTCTGCTCTGGAGACAGTCTCTGTAGCCCAGACTGGCCTTAGACTCCATCCCTCTGCCTTAGCCTTGGTTAGCAGCACATGACTGGCTCTCACTCAGTCTCTGATGCAGCTTGTGTTTTCCTGTGTGAATGTGCCATGATTTGTTGAACTCCTTCCCTTTTGCACACTGGGTACTGGCTGGTGTTGTCTTCTAAGTCCCCAACACAAGGTCCTTCTGTGGTAAACATGGGATGCTCACATTTTAAAGCATTTCTTTGATTTTGTCCTTAGGATAATGTCCTTTACATTTTTTTTTTTTTTTTTTTTTTTTTTTTTTTTTTTTAAAGATGTGGTCTTATTGTGTAGGCCTGGTTGGTCTGGAACTTGCTGTGTAAAACAGTCTGGCTCAAACTCACATGCACTCCTGCCTCTGCCTTCCAAGTGTGTGCATTCCGGGCTTCCTTCCCTCCTTTTTAGGCACAGTCTCGTCCTGTAGCTGAGGTTGACCTGGAATTCCCTGTAGCCTGGTCTTGAAATTGTGTCAGTCTTCCTGCCTCAATCTCTTGAGAATGCTTGGGAAAAAAAAATGTATTTGTTGGTCATAAGAGATGGTTCAGAGCCGGGAGGTGGTGGCGCCCGCCTTTAATCCCAGCACTCGGGAGGCAGAGGCAGGCAGATCTCTGTGAGTTGGAGACGAGCCTGGTCTACAAGAGCTAGTTCCAGGACAGCCTCCAAAGCTACACAGAGAAACCCTGTCTCAAAAACCAAAAAAAAAAAAAAAAAAAAAAAAAAAAAAAAAAAGATGGTTCAGATGGTAAAAGCACAAGCTTGCAAGCCTGACAACCTGAATTCCATCCCCTGGGCTCACGGCAGAGTGAAAACTCACTCCAGTAGTTGTCCTCTGATCTCTGCAGGCTCAGATTCTCTCGTGAACCCAGAAATAAGAACTAAGACATTGTTAAATTGTTCCTCCTTTGCCATGGTTGAAACGGCTCCCTTTGCTAGTTGTCTTTTTTTTTTTTAAGATTTTATTTATTATTTAATATATATACAACATTCTGCTTCCATGTATATCTGCACACCAGAAGAGGGATGGTTGTGAGCCACCATGTGGTTGCTGGGAATTGAACTCAGGACCTCTGGAAGAGCAGTCAGTGCTCTTAACTTCTCCAGCCCCGCTAGTTGTCTTTTGATATGGGTTTTAAAGACACAGAAGTCTCAAATTTGTATTTTAAAGATGTGTTTGTGTGTGTGTGTGTGTGTGTGTGTGTGTGTGTGTGTGAGAGAGATGCCTGTGGAGGACAGAAGAAGGCATTGGAGTTACAGGTGATTGTGAGCCACTGGGTGCTGGGAACCAAATTCAGGTCCTCCAGAAGACCAGGGAGTGCTCTGATCCACTCAGCCATCTCTCTTGCTCCTTACTTTCTGAATTATATGTAGAACACCCCCACCCTACCCCTGCCTTGAATTTTTGTCTTCACTGTTCTGTTCCAGCATCATATAGCAGTTCATCTATACTTCCAGGATTCCTCTGGGTTTTGTTTTCTTATATTTGAGGATTAACTTATTTGAATTTATTTGGTGAAAGCATAAGATAGGAATTTCAAGTTTAGAGTTTTACAGATGACTATCTTGCTTTTAGTGCTTTTGTTTATGGGTGGTGTTATGTGGTATTGGCTGGTCTAGAACTTTGATGTAGACTAAGTTGACCTTGTACGCTAAGAGATCTGCCTGTCTCTACCCCCAAATGTTGGGGTTAAAGGCATGCACCACCACATTTGGCCAGTGCTTTGTAGTTTTGGGATATTCTGTTATTGGCATGCTAGTTTGAAAGCATTTTAAGTTGTCTGTGGCATATGGATCTGACTGGCTTTTGATTGTGTGCATATTTAGGTGTGTGTGCCATGGTTTCTATCTAGATTTAATGCTCTTTGTTGTTCTCTTGTACTTTGTAACTTTGTAATTTAGGTATAGTTGGAGTTTAGGATACACTGGTTACTTAATTTTAAAAACATTTTCCATCATGTGAGTATCCATTTCTGGTTGAAATAATCTAGTACAAACAACTTTTGGGTATCAGCGGATTTGAAAACATCCTGGCAAGTTTAAGGTTCAAAGCTAAGGAAGTGTTTGGCACCAAATCTCATTACAAATGGTTGTGAGCCACCATGTGGTTGCTGGGAATTGAACTAAGGACCTTTGGAAGAACAGGCAGTGCTCTTAACCGCTGAGCCATCTCTCTAGCCCCTTGTTGTTGTTTTAATTTAATTTTTTAATTTCATATACATTGGTGTTTTCTCTACATGTATGTTGTGTGAGAGTATTGGATCCTGTAGAACTGGACAGTTGTGAGCTGCTATGTGGGTGCTGGGAATTGACCCCAGGTCCTCTGGAAGAGCAGCCAGTGCTCTTAACCACTGCCTCCCCCCTTAATTTTTCTTTTTATATGATGGACAGTGTGAGATCAGTTCAGAAGTGCCACCTGTCATTGCTCCTGTAATGTAATCTAAGTCACAAGCACTTCAGGAGTGTGAGACTAGGGAGGGGCTTTTGCATCTTTGCTTGTGTTTGGAAGTACTTTCCCTAAGGTGCATCAGTGTAGCAACGCTCTCAGTAGGACCAAGCCAATGTGGGAAAGTGCAGGTGCTTATTAGTGTAGTGTGTGCTGTAGCTGAGTATCCTTCTTCAAACCACAGGTCAATTCTGGTACCATGTTTACACCTAAGCTTTAAGATGATTTTTCTAAGTGCACATATGAACCAAGGGAGTGTTACCTAAGTCTGTAAGACAGAAGACAAATGAGTAATTCTGCATTCTAGGTGTGACTGTTATTAATAATGTTTATTGCTCTGGGCTGTTTTGTCTGCTACACAGGGTGGTTTCTTTTTACTGGTTGTTGCGTTGTTGTGATTATCATTTTGTTTTCACAGAAATAAAGCTGTGTTACTTATCACTGCTTTTTGTATGTGTTTGTGTTACAATGTCTTACACATCTTTCATACCTATTTCTGTTTGAAATAGTGGCTTGCTATGTAGTCCTGGCTAGCATCATAACTTAAGATTCCCCCTGCTTCTGTCTCTCATGTTTAATGTGCTTGGATTATAGGTGAGTGTTCACCATGCCTGCCTCATAGAGAACTTTTAATGTAGCATTTCAGTATATGGGTATCTATTGTAACATTTTTTTGTTTTTTCTTTTTAAGGCAGGGTCTGATTAGGTAGCCCCGCTGTTCTGGAACTTGCTATGTAAACCAAGAAAGCCTTGATCGCATGCACAAAGATCCATGCCTCTTGGGTGCTGGGATTAAAGGCTTGTGATACCTTGGTTGTCCTTACTTATTTATGTTTTTGAGACTAGTTTCATTCTAGAGCCCCTGCCATTCTGGAGCTCATGTGTAGTACAGGTTGGCCTTGAATTCTCTCAGAGATCTTCTTACATCAGCTCCCCAAGGACTCAGGTTATGAGTGTTAGGTACCTTTGTGGTAATTAAAAAAACAAAACTATTGTGATGAGATCTAGCAGTATTATCTTGTCTACTTGATCTTGGGCTCTTTTGCTCAGTGGACCTCCTGAGTAGCTAGAATTATAGGCTTGATAGTCATTTTAATTGGTCTTTCTTTCCCTATTACAAACATTCTATGACCTTGTGTCTGTGTTTGGGGTACTTGTATGTAAGGCAAATTTCTAAAAAGATACTTGAATAGAAAGGTATGGCTATTTAAAAATTTACTAACATTGCCAGTTTGTCTGTGAGGTTGTACCATCTTTTTCTCCAGGAACCCTATGTTTCAGTTGTTGATTTCCTATGTTTTTATCAGTACTGGTTTAATTTTTTTAATTTTAATAATTCTATATTTTAATTTGAAAATCTTTATGGTTTTTGGCCATTTGAATTTCTTTTTTTTAAAATTATTTATTTGGCTTTATTTTATTTGCATTGGTATAGTAGGTGTCAGATCCCCTGAAATTGGGGTTACAGACAGTTGTGAGCCGCCATGTAGGTGCTGGGAATTGAACCCAGGCCCTCTGGAAGAGCAGCCAGTGCTCTTAACCTCTGAGCCATCTCTCCAGTCCCCCATTTGAGTTTCTTTAGTGACTAGTCATTATGCCTCGAGTATTGTTTTTAGATATGTTTCAAGAACAAGGCATTCGTTCTTCTTCCTTTTTCAGTGTTTGTATTTGATCCTTCAGCTTTCATACAATATATTTTAACCAGTTTTCCCCTCCCTCAGTCCCTTCCATGTCCCCCCGCCTCCCTCCTCATCCAACTACTGCTACTTCTTTCTGTTCTTCTTCCTCTTCTCTTCCTCTCCTTCTCCTTCTCCTTCTCTATCTTAAGAAAGAAATCAAAGAAACAAACAAACAAAAAAATAGAAAACATGCTGTCCAGTTTGTGTTGACCATGTACTCCTGGGCCCGAGGCCTGCCCTGAAGTGCGGGTGACATACTCAGCCTCACTCCATTGAAGAAAGCGGATTTCCCTTCTCTCAGCAGCTATTATTTGCAGATGGCCTCTTGGCTGGGGTGGGATCTGTCCCAGCTATTTGCATGCTTTCCAGTTGTGGTGGGTCTCTGTTAATTGCAGGAGCGTCTCTGTGATGGTCTATGATGCTCTGACCTATGGGTCTAGCACCTGCCACTAGAAGTTGTTGTATCACTGTGTCCATGTAGCAGAATAAAAGGAATGTTTCCCCGAGGGCTGATGACCTATCTAGTCTTAGGTTCTCGGCCTCATTAACAGCATCAGATACGGATTCTGTCTCATGGAGTGAGCCTTAATTAAATCTAGGCCAAGCGTAATTGGCTACTCTCGTGGTGGTTGTGCCTCTCCTGTACTACTGGGCATAAACAAAGCATTTTCTCATTTTCAAACTTTTTCCCCCTCAGAAATTTTCATGCTTTGTGATGATCTCCCCTTTCCATTTTAGGATACCATGGCAAAGAGGAATACAGTGATAGGAACACCGTTTTGGATGGCCCCTGAAGTTATTCAGGAAATTGGGTACAACTGCGTGGCAGACATCTGGTCTCTGGGAATAACCGCCATAGAAATGGCTGAAGGAAAGCCCCCATATGCTGATATCCATCCAATGCGGGTAAGGAAGCAACCAGTTGGATGGTTAGTTACTGCCTCTCAGTAGAAAGTGACTTGGCATCTTCCTTGCTTATATTCCAAACAGGAAATGAGCTAATTTTATATAATGATAAATGCTACTGTACTCTTCCCCTGGCATTAAATGCAGTCAATCATTAATTTAAATCTAGTCCATTTTGCATTCTAGAGTGTGTGTCTTGATAGTCTTCTTGGAGGACATAGGCTATAGAAATTCGTAGATTGACTTACATATTATATACATTATATATGCTTTTAATAGCATACATCACTACATTTTTAGCTTTGTAACTATATAGGCTTTCCATTGAATCATTTTCTGTGACTCCCCATTGGGTCACTAGGTGTCAAGTACCACTTACTACATATGTGTCTTCTTCAGTGTGCTTTTGTGCTTACATCACTACCACCCATTTTGGTTCATAGATTGTCTCTTTCATGATTGATCTCTGAAGGTGTTTTGGTTTGTGAATCCTCTGACTCTTATCTGGTGGCTGTTTTCTCTCCAGCCTGTGTCCTGTGTCCACTTCCATCGTTATGAATCACAGGCTGCACCCCCATAGCCTCCCTCAGTGCTGATACCCTGAGGAGTTCCCAGGCTTCATTCATTCCAAGAACACACAGTTCTGTTGAAAGGCCCCAACCTGCTTCTCCCAGAGGCTCCATCGCCTTCCCCACCCCCACACCAGTTCTTCCTTGTATTTAATTAATTAACTTATTCTTTCGATAAAAGACTTGGGTTGTCTGTCTGTCTCTGTCTTTTTTTTTTTGTTTTTGGGACAGCGTTTCTCTGTACCTTTGGAGCCTATCCTGGAACTCGCTCTGTAGATCAGGCAGGCCTTGAATTTTTAAAAAGTATTGTAGGACTAAAGACAATTTTTTTTTTTTTTTGTGGGACTGAAGAGGTAAGGAGGGAGGGTTTACAGAGATCATATTTTTAGTTTTAAAGAGTACAACTTAAACTGTCTAATGCAGAGAGTTTTCTCTCTCATAAAGTAGGGGTTTCCATCATTTAAAATTCAGCAATTAATAGTCTTTTTAAAGAAAGTTTTATTTTAATTGTGTGGTACCTTTAGAGGCCAGAAGAGGATGTCAGAGTCCCTGAACTGGAGTTGTTAGTGGTTGTGAACTGCCTGACATGGGTGTCTTGAACTTAACTGAGGCCCTCTTGAAGAGCAGTATGTGATATTAACTACTGAGCAATCTGTCCAGCCCTTAATAATAACTTCAGTCTTGTAAAGTAGAATTTTAATTGTGCTTTATTATAGTTGCTTGGTTTTTAGTTTTTCTTTTCTGTCGAGTGAGGATTTGAGGGGCTGGAAAGATAGCTTAGTGGTAGAGTTCCTGTTTGCCACCCACAGGCCCTGCATTCAGTCCTTAGTACTACACACACACACACACACACACACACACACACACACACACTTTGTCCTCATCCCACACCCCACACTCACACCTTCACATGATTAAAAAACAAAGATTAACGAAAATCATTTGGTGTGGCTTGAGGCTGATAGCTCCCTTGTGACTTTCTGGACTTCTGGTTGATGATCTTGGAGTCATTGATGATGATCATTGGCAGCTTTGAAGAAGGGGAGTTTAACAAGTATGCGGCTGAAGCTCAGGATACAGACGCTCAATGGTGGTGTCTTTCCACATTGCCCCTTGTCCCAAAGTTGCTTGAGGCTGAAGAGATGGCTCATTTGGTCAGGTGTTTGCCTTGTAAGCATGAGGACCTGAGTTCATTCTCCAGCTTCTACATAAAAAGCTGGGTGTGATGATGTGTGTTTATGATCCCAGCACTGGGAGAGATTCCTAGGGCTCCACGGCTGGCTGGCCTGACTAACTTAATAGTTGAGCTCCCTGTCCCAGTGAGACTCAAAAACAAGAAGGATGGTTCCTGAGGAGCCACACTCTTCTTATTTGGTTATTAGTGGGGATTGGACCCGAGGTCTCATTTATGTGAGGCAGCTGCTCTACCACTGAGCTACAGTCCCACTCAGGAGTGACACTGGAGGTTGATCCTTGGTGTCCATGCATGCATTCATGCTACACATGTACTTGTACACACCTACATGAACATGTACAATACTAACACACGTACACGCACACGCAAAAGGTGTTTTTCTTTTTTCTTTTTGGCTTTGTTAGGTTTAGAACAGGACTGCATGTGAGCAAGGGGAAGGGAAGAGAGCAGGTATTAGAGCCAGTTTCTGTACTCCACGTGGGCACGCTTTGTGTTTGGATATGTGAACAATCAGTTTACCAAGCAAATGTAGTTGTTTATATTAGAGTGTCGTTTTCATTTTGCCTTTTCTTTCTTTTTTTTTTAACTAGGCAATATTCATGATTCCTACAAACCCTCCTCCCACGTTCCGTAAGCCAGAGCTGTGGTCAGACAACTTCATGGATTTTGTAAAGCAGTGTCTGGTAAAAAGCCCTGAGCAGAGAGCCACAGCCACTCAGCTCCTACAGGTATGCGTCACCTCACCGAGCCATTCACACGCTGCTAAGTCATTTGATTGCACGTAAGAATGAGGTATAAGACATTGTTGTTCGAGGGAGGTTTAAAGCTATTGAGATAAAAGGGTAGAAAATACTTGAAGAGCATAGAAGTAACAGAAGTGGGTCATGAATGAGTTTAAGATTTAAGAGCAGTAAGAAGCTCAGAGACATTTCTCCCACCAGGATGAACAGTAGGTGGGCAATAGATCAAGACTGTTGTCACGTCATAACAGGCCAGATGTACATGTGTCCGGGAAGAGTGGAAGGAAATAACCTTGTACTTTGCAAGTACAGAGAGCAAGATGATATGGCATTCTTTTTTTTTTTTTTTTTTTTTTTTTTTTTCCCCGGGACAGGGTTTCTCTGTAGCTTTGGAGCCTGTCCTGGCACTCGCTCATGTAGACCAGGCTGGTCTCAAACTCACAGAGATCCACCTGTCTCTGCCTCCCGAGTGCTGGGATTAAAGGCGGGCGCCACCAATGCCCGGCATGACCTAGCTCTTGTAAGTGTATTGCCAAATCTGCCTAGACGAAGTGGTGATGGAGGTTTATGAAGAGCCTCTGGTCTGCAGTTCTACCACGGCTGAAGCATCCTTCCATCCTTTAGGGTACTTAACAAAGGCTCGGAGATCTTTGCCCTGTTGATGATAGGGAACCAGGGATGTACTGTCCCTGCAAGGAAGAGAGATGGGGTGCTTCCAGAGTAAGTTTGGATATATAGGCAACTCCCAAAAAGAATTTCTGTATGTAGCTTTAACTGCCGGGGCTTCTTGTTGCCCTGCAAAGGCAGGAAAAACAAGGTGGAGCTGGTAAGGTGTCTCAGAGGGTAAAGGGGGCTGCCCCAGGCCTGCAAGCTGCATTCAGACATTGGAACTGATGGAGTGGAGACTGACTCTTTTATGAAATAAAGAGAAAAAAGAGCCTCTAGGTGAGATGGAGAGAAATGGCACAGGTTCAAATGGTCACCTGTCTCCGTAGAGTCATGAAGTGAGTGTGGCTTAGTTGTCCCAGGTGTGAAGAGAAAACTTAGATCCACTGATTTACATGCAAATATTGCTGGGTTTCTACTAGGTTCCATGCACTGTTTTAAAGTGAAACTTGTGTCCTTTGTTCTCCATTTTATTTAAGCATCCATTTGTCAAGAGCGCCAAAGGGGTGTCGATATTGCGAGACTTGATTAATGAGGCCATGGATGTGAAGCTGAAGCGCCAGGAAGCGCAGCAGCGGGAAGTGGACCAGGATGACGAGGAGAACTCAGTGAGTGGCGAGTGGCGGGGCGGCGGCGGCGGCGGCGGCGG